GGTCACAGTTCCTCCTGCTGAAAATTCGAGGCACCCTGCCAAAGCCGAGCTGGGAGAAGAAGACGGGCCGCGGGTGCCGGCCAGAGTCAAGAGAGCTTTGGAAAGCAAATCGTTTGATGAGTTCCGTTCCAACAGACCCTTTATATAGGTTCCTGCATATGCTCTCACGGGAAAGAGACCAGTTGGGATCTTCCATCAGACAGGTTGAGCGTCCATATATAGAGTCACTGGACAGGAAGAAGGACTCAGAACTCAACCTGGCCAGCCATGTGGTCTATGACGAGATCGAGAAAACCGTCGTGGAGGGTGACTGGGACGGATACCACGGTGGCTTTCCCTGCAGCAGCTTCAGCAGGGTGAGATGGCGAGACTGGCCTGGCGGAGCCCATCCTGTCAGAAGCGCCGCACACATCTATGGATTGCCCATCAAGCAGAAAGAAGCAGACGAAGGACGAAGGAATTCTCATGGCGGTGAGGGCTGGTTGACTCCATCAAAAACAAGTGGAATCCTTTCAGAGGCGAGCAGTTCCCGAAGCCTCTACGTTGGAGAACCCAGCAGGAGCAGAACACGGTCGATCGGCGTGGGACTTACCGGAGTTGCAGGCTGTCATCGCCGACACGAACTCGTCCTCAGCTGAATTCAACACTTGTGCCTACCAGACTAAACTCAAGCAGAAGTACAAGCCGGCGAGATGGACAGGGGAAGCTGGAGTCGTTGGGCTCACTTGCAAGGGTGTGCAAGTGCCAACCGTGGGTACAACATGTGCCGGTGGTTGGAAAGCAAAACACTGAAGCTGCAGGTGCCAACCCGCCTGAAATCACAGCCATCATCGCCAAGAAGATAGTTGAGACTTGGAAGAGAATTTGAATCCTCGACTTGGAGTGGCCGAGGTTCCAACTCAAGCAGAAAACGAACAAGATAAACTAGCTCCAGGTCAAGTGGTTGGAAAACGAAGGGTGCAGGCGAAAGAGAATCTATGTAGAGACCGCTCCAACAAATTGTCAACCCACTGTCCAAGGAGCCAAAGCCTGCCGCAGGTGACACCAAGGCAGTCGAGGCCAATGAGAAAGAGAGGGAATCAATGCCCCCATCACCGGCGAGACCGTCTAAGAGACAGAGAAGAGAGGAGCAGAATGAATTGCGATCGGAAGCATAAAAATTCAGCGGTCGCAGTGGCAAAATTACACCAGGTGAGAAAAGTGGGAGAGCACCCTCTGTGTATGGAGGCTGACCCGCAACCCTTTATATAGAATATTTCCAGAAGTTGATGCAGAAGAACCCCTCGAGACACAGATGGACATGGTGGACTTGGCAGGCATGAGAAACTATGAACCCGTCGAGTCACAGTTGGACCATGCGGAAACAAGTTGAACGATATGCCGAGAAGGGTTTCTGCAGAGCGATGCCCCTGGAGGCTGTCCATCAAAGGTTCCCACAAGAGACAGCATCTAAGCTTGCAGTCATACTCAAACAAAAGCCAGATGGCTCAACAAAGGGACGAATTGTAATCGACTTGCGCAGGTCGCAAGGAAACCAGAGGGCAAAGGTGAAGGAAAGAATTGTTCTACCCCGGGCCCAAGACATCGTGACGAGCCTTCGAGTCATGCGAGCACGTGAACATGAACTTAAATGGAGCTACGAAGGCGATCAGATGGAATTTTGCCTGATCGATTTGTAAGATGCGTTTGCCCATTTTCGCGTGCATCCCATCCGAGCTGAAGAATTGCATCAGCCCAGGACTGCACACCGGCACAGCAATAATTTGGGTAGCAATGTTGTTTGGCTTCAAAGCCGCACCACTGGTAATGGGGCGTCTCAGTGCAGCGATCGGCCGGCTACTACAGTCATTGTTCCACCCAGCTGCTGGCCAAGTGCAGGTTTACATCGAGGGGCACAAAGGAGCTCCGGAACTTTCAGCTGTCCAAGGTGCTGCATGTCCTAGCCGCATTTGGAGTTCAAGTAGCGATGCACAAAGGGGAGCGTGGTCAGCGCATAACGTGGATAGGAACAACCATTTGACCTGCCGCCCCACAAAGTCGTCTTGGGCACCCCGAAGAAGATGGTGGACGAGATAGAGGCCACCCAGATCTTTCGTGGGCTAACTATCCTAGATAGCCGGGATAGTCCAGCGTGCGCTGGACAGTTACCGCAATCTATGCCGTCCTCACAAACACCTTGGAGGAGGAGTCACTGGAAGAGTCCAGGGCCAAGGCTGAAGGCGGCGTTTGAAGGCCCAGACCTGCTGATCAGACACGAGCCCTTGGCGGAGCACGAATGCAGTCTGGGATGCATCGCCCAAAGGGGTCGGAGAAGTGGTGATTCACAAGATGGGCCAGCACAGTGGCACATCATACCCACATGATCATGCCACGTCCCGCAACCATTTTCAGGCCCGAATCATGGAGAAGGAACTAATTGTTTCCCCTGGGCCTGACATCCAGGTCCACGCCGGGTCCCAACCACACCATAACCCGGGGGCATGGATTTTTCTGTTAGCCGTCTTCATGTCGGGTATGCTCTTTCAAGCATGTGTGCCGCGGCTTTGCCAAAAAGGAGTCCAAGTTGGCGGCAGTTGTCTGAAGCGAGCAAAAGATTGTTGGCGTTGGTTGGAAACAGCAGCAGCGAAGACAATGAGAGAAAGGAGCCCCAGGCATTCAACCAGGCAAAGAAGCCTTAGTGGAATCCGAGATCCTGGGACGCCCTAGACGCCCATGAGTACAGAGCAAACGTCCCAACGCTATCTCAGTTTGACAGAGATAAGGGCACCAAAAGCGAGAGAAGCCGAGCCTTTGGAGGAGATCCCCAGCTCATCTCTGGGGACCAAGCGTAAGGCCGAGGGGGCCTATATCCACAAGAGCCGCAAGCCAGAGAATGACGAGAAGCGGGCGCAACCCCGTTTTGGGGGCAATGATGGCTGCCGCAAGCCCAAGGAGATGAAAGAGAGCGAGACAAAGGTGACCCTCCAGCAGATAGGCGAGAAGGCAAAAGACCGAGCTTGGGTATCGATTGCCAGAAAGGACTTCATCAAGAAATTCTATGCACCATCTACACTGGCGACCTAAAACACCAAGAGGAAGAAGGTGTTAGAGGTACTGAACAACATGGAAGCGGAACCGTTCCCACTGAGCCCAGAGACCGTCACTTCCTTGGCCAGCCCTGTTGGATGCGGCAGGCATGAGAGCAGGGGGCCAGTACCTAGCTGAAGCTAAGGCGATGCATGTGCAGGCGGGCTTTGAATGGAGCCTCCAACTTGACAAGCAGATGGCGTCCTGCAAGAGAGCCACGCAACGTGACAAAGGTCCAGAAGTACGCGCAAAGGAAGTGAAGATTGGAGACATAAGTGACAATAAGTGGACAGAAAGCAACGACATGCCGAAGGAACCCAAAAGAGTGGCATGGTCGTGCGCATGGGCAGTCGTATGGATGCTGCGAGCTGTACAGGGGGCGCAATTAATCATAGGAGACGCGCGGGTGAAAGAGGACGAGAAACTGGTCAAGCTCCGCATCGAAAGTCCAAAACAGATCAGGAGGGGCTGGGTAGATGGAGGACCCTCATGTACGTGTTGCGGTCAAATACAGTGTGAGAGAGATCAAAGCGGTGAGTGGTTGGCCATTCGGACCACCATCTGACCCATTGTTTCCGAGCAGCTCAGGCCACGTCGTGTCAAAGCTCCACATGTTGATGCCGTGGGCAAACCACTTGGACAAAGACATGACAGGACTTGACAGGACATTCAGCAAGGAGATCAGGCGCCACGGCCTATGCAAGAAGGGGGATTGCCATATCTTCCATCCAGGGCAGGTGGAAATCATCTGCAGTGTTTAGGTACGTGGAAGAGGCCATGACTGAAATCGCCATGAATGCAGCACAGACCGGAGGAACCTGCAAATGAAGTGTGCAAAAGAAAGGCCCTCAAGCCAAAAGCGAAAGCAGCCCCAGAAGCCAGCAATAAGCTTCTCCCACGAAACAGTCTATGGGGATCAAACCGATCGTGGATGATGTGTCGAAGTCGAGAAAATGCTGGACCAGACACATCCTGGGGCAGGTTGTTTGTGGAATCCCCTTGGGGAATTGGTCCACAGTCTGTGGATGGAACTTTGCCAACAGAAACGTGAAGGTAGAACTAACCACGAAACCTTCATGCCTCACCACCCCTTGCAAAAAGTGCTTCAAGTGTGCAGAGGAGCGCGACAAAGTCAAAGGAGCACGAGAGTGGGCGCATGAGATGGTACTTTAAACCTTCTCAATAGAAGAAGTACAAAAACCATAGATGCCAGTCTGAGATCAGAGGTGAAAATACGCCTTTAGCCTGCACAGCTGTTTCAAAACAGACCAGACAGGCCAACCTGCAAAAGTTTGCGTCCTGTTGCTATGGAGGTTGCCTGGGC